ATAAATGGATGACTGATGATATAGATGATAGAGAGATGGTAGATAGATACAAAGATAGATAGATAGATAGATAGATAGATAGATAGGTATATGATAGATAGATGATAGATAGATAGATGATAGACAGATAGATAAATAGATAGATAGAACAGCAGATAGATATAGACATATGAGATGATAGATACATAGATACATAGATGATAGATAGATAGATAGATAGATAGATAGAGATAGATAGATAGACAGATGATAGATAGATGGATAGATAGATAGATGATAGATATAAGAGCTAATTTTAAGCAAAACAGAGTCATTCTGTCACACTGACAAAAGCTTTGCTCTTAACACCTAATAGATCAATCTTCTGTATCAACAAATATCCATATGCAATATCACTTCTAATGATTACATAGTGTTATGCGAGTTTATCATAATTTTGTAGTTTAATACTCTGTTGTTGGATGTTAGACATATCTATTTCTCACAGTAAAATGTAATCTTTTTCATAATCTTTGTTGCTAGAGATTGTGCACGTTTTCCTTAATTTCTTTAGATGTAATACATAGAAATGGAATTTCTAGATTAAGAGGTACTTATACTTTTAGTGTTTTTTAATACATTGACAATTATCTTTCTGAATTATCTTGTCAATGTATATATCTTCCAGCCAAATAAAAGAACCTGTATCTCCCAGCCTTACCATTAACATTTTCATCATTACCAATATAATAGCCTACATTTTTTTTTATTTTATAGCTTTCACTTCTTTAAATACTGATTATGTTAAACATTTCTCAATGTTTTAGAGAAAATTGGCTTACGATTTGTCTGTTACTGAGTTTGTTTTCCAATGGGTGTATCTTTTTTCTTTTTGCTTAATAAAAGCACTTTATATATTAAGGCATTAAATTTTATCATACTTACTTGAAACACTTCTATCATGTTAAAATATATGTATTATATTCCCATGTGTCTATTGCTATGAGATTTATTCATTAGGAAAGAATGCTGAATTCCCATCTATTCAAATGACTTTTCCTAATTGATATATTAATGATGTACAATTGTGTGAATTGACTTTCTAATGTAGAAACAATCTTTATTCTGGGAATAAACTCTCTTTGGGTATCAATCTTAACTACTGAATAATTAACATTTATTTTTGTCAATATTTGTTAAGCTGAAATGTATC